TACGTTTTGGCGTTCGCCTCGCGCTGTCCAAAGTCATGTGCACAAGATGAAATCCCGAAGGATCGCGGCCCAACCTCCCGATGTTGAGTGTATTCCTTCGACGCCGCGCGAGCTTGGAAGGGGAACACTGCTCGCAAACTCCAGCCTATGCGCAGGTGAAACAACAAAACGAAAAGAAGGGTGATCCATCAGAACCTCCCATTCGGAGCGCTCCTCTCACGCAAGATTCCCAAAGCGTTGAACCAACAGCTCCTCAGCTTACGAGAGTCAGACAAGCCGCGACACTCCAAACTTCCACGAGCCTCGCAAGCCCAAGTAAACACGAAAACCCGCCGGGACTGCAAAGGCATCAAAGTCCGTAACAAAAAAGAGAGTTGAAAGAGTATCTCTCGAGTACCTGACTTATACCTTTGGGTGTTCAGGCCGTTAAGGGCGACAAGTTTTACCTATCCCCACCCCAACAAAGCAAGACCCATCATCAAGATTCATCAAGGCCGCGAAATCCTGCAGTCTTGTCGTTCTTATCTGGGATCCCGCTTTTGGAGGCTGGAGACCCTCGCAAGTAAGATGAGCTCCGTTTCTGCAAGCACGTGAAGCAAAACTTGCTCTGAAACGCTGCACAACCGCTGCACGCCTCGTTCTCCCATTGCCAAATGCTGTTGGAGCAACATGGGGCAACTGGCCTCGGAAGACACCAGGGATTGCACGAACAAACGATCCAAGTCTTGAGGCGCCCCGTACGAAGCCGCGCAAGGGACTGCGCTTCTGCAGGGCCATATATGCAACCCTCGCAAGACAGGATCCATGGGCCTGTTATGAAACCAGAAGGACACTCATGCCGGGATTCCTAAAATAGGTACTGTATGTCCCCCGGCACCAGAAATAACACGAATCCTACAGTCACATGAGCTGAGGCAGTGTCCGGGCGAAGGATGTGCTCAGCTGCAGGACCTTCCAGGATCGCGATCCAACAGCCAAACTGAAAAAAAGGGCCATATCCATATATCATGAGCATCTATGGTCATTGGAGCTGTGTCGTGACAAATCTTGCTCGGCTCTTTTGCTCCAGCCGCGGCAATATCGCTGGAAAGGCATCGAAGAGCTGTACATGCCATGCAGAATGACGGCCTGCGCAGAAACACTTGCGTCTGAGTCTGAATCTCGCTTTGGCATGGTGCAAGAATGTCAAGCTGCCCAAGGTCTAGCACTGCGTCCGTCGTCCTCTTTGCCTAGCGGGCCCAAGACCCACGACGCCAGCAGGCGAAATTCTCAAAAATGTCATCCAGTGCAGAAACAGGAGACTCAGCGTCTAGGCGGCGGAAAGCGTAAGTGTATGTACGCTGCCAAATGCTGCCAAAACGTGTGAATTAGGCGAAAATCTCTGTGTTCGTCTTCGCTCACTGTGGCAACGATAAAGTATGGACGCTGCACAGACCGAGAGATGACGCGAGATACGCACAATGCTCACATCAGCCCGAGGCTACGAAAAACGCGAAAAGGCAAAGACTCAGTGCTCCCTTCCCGGCGCTGAAGGAATCGACCTTCAGAATGCTGCGCCACGCGGGAGCTGTTGCCCAGAGTGTTGTTGAAGCTCACCATCTCCGTCCAGTTGGAGCTGTTGCCCAGGGCACCTTGCAGCAAGCGCTTGGCCGGTGTGTTGTTGAAGCTCAACATCTCCGTCCAGTTGGAGCTGTTGCCCAGGGCACCTTGCAGCAAGCGCTTGCCCGGAGTGTTGTTGAAGCTCACCATCTCCGTCCAGTTGGAGCTGTTGCCCAGGGTACCTTGCAGCAAGCGCTTGCCCGGAGTGTTGTTGAAGCTCACCATCTCCGTCCAGTTGGAACTGTTGCCCAGGGCACCTTGCAGCAAGCGCTTGCCCGGAGTGTTGTTGAAGCTCACCATCTCCGTCCAGTTGGAGCTGTTGCCCAGGGCACCTTGCAGCAAGCGCTTGCCTGGAGTGTTGTTGAAGCTCACCATCTCCGTCCAGTTGGAGCTGTTGCCCAAGGCACCTTGCAGCAAGCGCTTGCCCGGGGTGTTGTTGAAGCTCACCATCTCCGTCCAGTTGGAGCTGTTGCCCAGGGCACCTTGCAGCAAGCGCTTTCCCGGAGTGTTGTTGAAGCTCACCATCTCCGTCCAGTTGGAGCTGTTGCCCAGGGTACCTTGCAGCAAGCGCTTGCCCGGAGTGTTGTTGAAGCTCACCATCTCCGTCCAGTTGGAACTGTTGCCCAGTGTACCTTGCAGCAAGCGCTTGCCCGGAGTGTTGTTGAAGCTCACCATCTCCGTCAAGTTGTAACTGTTACCCAGGCCACCTTGCAGCAAGCGCTTGCCCGGAGTGTTGTTGAAGCTCACCATCTCCGTCCAGTTGGAGCTGTTGCCCAGGGCGCCTTGCAGCAAGCGCTTTCCCGGAGTGTTGTTGAAGCTCACCATCTCCGTCCAGTTGGAGCTGTTGCCCAGGGCACCTTGCAGCAAGCGCTTGCCGGGAGTGTTGTTGAAGCTCACCATCTCCGTCCAGTTGGAGCTGTTGCCCAAGGCACCTTGCAGCAAGCGCTTGCCCGGAGTGTTGTTGAAGCTCACCATCTCCGTCCAGTTGGAGCTGTTGCCCAGGGCACCTTGCAGCATTCGCTTGCCCGGAGTGTTGTTGAAGCTCACCATCTCCGTCCAGTTGGAGCTGTTGCCCAGGGCACCTTGCAGCAAGCGCTTGCCCGGAGTGTTGTTGAAGCTCACCATCTCCGTCCAGTTGGAGCTGTTGCCCAGGGCACCCTGCAGCAAGCGCTTGCCCGGAGTGTTGTTGAAGCTCACCATCTCCGTCCAGTTGGAGCTGTTGCTCAGGGCACCTTGCAGCAAGCGCTTGCCGGGAGTGTTGTTGAAGCTCACCATCTCCGTCCAGTTGGAGCTGTTGCCCAAGGCACCTTGCAGCAAGCGCTTGCCCGGAGTGTTGTTGAAGCTCACCATCTCCGTCCAGTTGGAGCTGTTGCCCAGGGCACCTTGCAGCATGCGCTTGCCCGGAGTGTTGTTGAAGCTCACCATCTCCGTCCAGTTGGAGCTGTTGCCCAGGGCACCTTGCAGCAAGCGCTTGCCCGGAGTGTTGTTGAAGCTCACCATCTCCGTCCAGTTGGAGCTGTTGCCCAGGGCACCTTGCAGCAAGCGCTTGTTGTTCAAGCCACCATCTCCGTCAGTTGGAGTGTTGCTTTGCAGCAAGCGCTTGCCCATCTCCCAGTCTGTCAAGGTGCAGCAAGCGCTTGCCCGGACCCAGAAGCTCACCTTGCAGCAAGCGCTGCCAGGGGAGCTGTTGCCCAGGGCACCTTGCAGCAAGCGCTTGCCCGGAGTGTTGTTGAAGCTCACCATCTCCGTCCAGTTGGAGCTGTTGCCCAGGGTACCTTGCAGCAAGCGCTTGCCCGGAGTGTTGTTGAAGCTCACCATCTCCGTCCAAGTTGGAGCTGTTGCCCAGGGCACCTTGCAGCAAGCGCTTGCCCGGAGTGTTGTTGAAGCTCACCATCTCCGTCCAGTTGGAGCTGTTGCCCAGGGCACCTTGCAGCAAGCGCTTGCCCGGAGTGTTGTTGAAGCTCACCATCTCCGTCCAGTTGGAGCTGTTGCTCAGGACACCTTGCAGCAAGCGCTTGCCCGGAGTGTTGTTGAAGCTCACCATCTCCGTCCAGTTGGAGCTGTTGCCCAAGGTACCTTGCAGCAAGCGCTTGCCCGGAGTGTTGTTGAAGCTCACCATCTCCGTCCAGTTGGAGCTGTTGCCCAGGGCACCTTGCAGCAAGCGCTTGCCCGGAGTGTTGTTGAAGCTCACCATCTCCGTCCAGTTGGAGCTGTTGCCCAGGGCACCTTGCAGCAAGCGCTTGCCCGGAGTGTTGTTGAAGCTCACCATCTCCGTCCAGTTGGAGCTGTTGCCCAGGGCACCTTGCAGCAAGCGCTTGCCCGGAGTGTTGTTGAAGCTCACCATCTCCGTCCAGTTGGAGCTGTTGCCCAGGGCACCTTGCAGCAAGCGCTTGCCCGGAGTGTTGTTGAAGCTCACCATCTCCGTCCAGTTGGAGCTGTTGCCCAGGGCACCTTGCAGCAAGCGCTTGCCCGGAGTGTTGTTGAAGCTCACCATCTCCGTCCAGTTGGAGCTGTTGCCCAAGGCACCCTGCAGCAAGCGCTTGCCGGAGGTGTTGTTGAAGCTCACCTCTCCGTTTGGAGCTGTTGCAGGGCACCTTGCAGCAAGCGCTTGCCCGGAGTGTTGTTGAAGCTCACCATCTCCGTCAAGTTGGAGCTGTTGCTCAGGGCACCTTGCAGCAAGCGCTTGCCCGGAGTGTTGAAGCTCACCATCTCCGTCCAGTTGGAGCTGTTGCCCAGGGCACCTTGCAGCAAGCGCTTGCCCGGAGTGTTGTTGAAGCTCACCATCTCCGTCCAGTTGGAGCTGTTGCTCAGGGTACCTTGCAGCAAGCGCTTGCCCGGAGTGTTGTTGCTCACCATCTCCGTCAAGTTGGAGCTGTTGCTCAGGGCACCTTGCAGCAAGCGCTTGCCCGGAGTGTTGTTGAAGCTCACCATCTCCGTCCAGTTGGAGCTGTTGCCCAGGGCACCTTGCAGCAAGCGCTTGCCCGGAGTGTTGTTGAAGCTCACCATCTCCGTCCAGTTGGAGCCGTTGCCCAGGGAACCTTGCAGCACTCGCGAACTCGTGGCATTGCTCAGAGTGGCCTGGGCTCCGGCCACCGCAATCAGAGCTGCTAGAATTGGCAGCATGGCGGTGAACTTGACGTAGCTTCTTCTCAGGACTGCAAGCTGCAAAGCAAAAACTGCGTCGGAAGTTCAGCAGAGGCATCCTGAAAAAGCGAGATATTCGGCATGCCGCATGTCACCCCGAATGACCAAGGAACTGAAGTAGCCAAGTTCTGAAGAAAATGACAGAGAAACACAAAACGCCCCTTCTCTCCCTTCTTACTTCGGAACGTAGCTTAAGTCGAAAGCAACACGTAAGAACATCAACCAGGTCTGCTCCAAGGCATGCGGCTGCCCAAGGCCTTGTGCCCCGGACCTTGCAGCGCCCCGAGAGGCCTGATCTGTTTGCTGGCTTTGCTGCAGCTGTTTGAAGGGCGACGGCAGGCGGAACCACTAGCAAACAAAAACACCGAAGTTCCGTGGCCTTTCGTGAGCTCTGTATTTGCGTAACTGCGAATGCATTGAATACATATTCGATGAAGGAAGACGATATTATAGAGCTCGACATTTGCACGTGGTCTCACGCCGATTATCGATCCCCTGTCGCGGTGAACTGCGCCCCTGAGCATCCTTGTTGCCCGAAGCTTGCCTAAAATTCTCGCGAGCCACGGCGCTTCTCCCTCCTCATCACTCACACCCTCATCTTGCGGAAGGCCGGCTGTACTGCAAGCCCTCTAAGCCAACGCAGCCGAAGCCACGCAAGAGCACATCAGAAAATCCTGCTCGTAGTCTCATGTACAATAGAACACGCGGCAAGCCGCCCCTCGGATTCAATGAAGCGACTCCAACCCGAACAAGCAATCTCAGCACCGAAGCCACAAATTCCGGAAAGCAACCCCCAACGGTTCTAACGCTGAGGGGCTGTCCTACAACGAGACACCATAACGAGACTGAATTGCGATGGGCAGCCTATGGCACCCTAAACCCAACGTGGGCCCATGCAGTCTGAAACCGCATAGCACAATGGCACTGAATCCCCACACCCTTCAACCCAGAAAACCTTCAGAATCTGTAACAGCTCAACCCGAACCAGCCTGAGGCCAAAGCTTGGGAACCACTATAGAAATAGAGGAAGTCAGGACGGGCAGTTCAGCGCAAGGCGGATGCCAACTTGCCAAAGACCATGTGGCCTTGCACAGAATGACATCTAAGCTTGACAGTGGCTTTTCAATTTCGAGACATTTGGACTGAAGGAGTTGGGGTAAACGATGGAAGAGTGAAGGTGTTTTTGGGACAAGTCGTGCCCCGAGTAAAGATTTACGTTTTGGCGTTCGCCTCGCGCTGTCCAAAGTCATGCGCACAAGATGATATCCCGAAGGATCGCGGCCCAACCTCCCGATGTTGAATGTATTCAGTCGACGCCGCGCGACCTGTTTTGTTGCTTGTTCGTTGCTTGCGTTGATGCTTGGAAGGGGAACACTGCTCGCAAACTCCAGCCTATGCGCAGGTGAAACAACAAAACGAAAGGAAGGGTGATCCATCAGAACCTCCCATTCGGAGCGCTCCTCTCACGCAAGATTCCCAAAGCGTTGAACCAACAGCTCCTCAGCTTACGAGAGTCAGACAAGCCGCGACACTCCAAACCTCAACGAGCCTCGCAAGCCCAAGTAAACACGAAAACCTGCCGGGACTGCAAAGGCATCAAAGTCCGTAACAAAAAAGAGAGTTGAAAGAGTATCTCTCGAGTACCTGACTTATACATTTGGGTGTTCAGGCCGTTAAGGGCTGCAAGTTTTACCTATCCCCACCCCAACAAAGCAAGACCCATCATCAAGATTCATCAAGGCCGCGAAATCCTGCAGTCTTGTCGTTCTTATCTGGGATCCCGCTTTTGGAGGCTGGAGACCCTCGCAAGTAAGATGAGCTCCGTTTCTGTAAGCACGTGAAGCAAAACTTGCTCCACGCCTCGTTCTCCCGTTGCCAAATGCTGTTGGAGCAACATGGGGCAACTGGCCTCGGAAGACACCAGGGATTGCACGAACAAACGATCCAAGTCTTGAGGCGCGCCGTACGAAGCCGCGCCCGCAAGGGATCGCGCTTCTGCAGGGCCATATATGCAACCCTCGCAAGACAGGATCCATGGGCCTGTTAAAAAACCAGAAGGACACTCATGCCGGGATTCCTAAATTAAAATAGGTACTGTATGGTACTGTATGTCCCCCGGCACCAGAAATGCCACGAATCCTACAGTCACATGAGCTGAGGCAGTGTCTTGGCGAAGGATGTGCTCAGCTGCAGGACCTTCCAGGATCGCGATCCAACAGCCAAACTGAAAAAAAGGGCCATATCCATATATCATGAGCATCTCTGGTCATTGGAGCTGTGCTATTGGCGTCGTGACACATCTTGCTCGGCTCTTTTGCTCCAGCCGCGGCAATATCGCTGGAAAGGCATCGAAGTGTTGTACATGCCATGCAGAATGACGGCCTGCGCAGAAACACTTGCGTCTGAGTCTGAATCTCGCTTTGGCATGGTGCAAGAATGTCAAGCTGCCCAAGGTCTAGCACTGCGTCCGTCGTCCTCTTTGCCTAGCGGGCCCAAGACCCACGACGCCAGCAGGCGAAATTCTCAAAAATGTCATCCAGTGCAGAAACAGGAGACTCAGCATCTAGGCGGCGGAAAGCGTAAGTGTATGTACGCTGCCAAATGCTGCCAAAACGTGTGAATTAGGCGAAAAATCTCTGTGTTCGTCTTCGCTCGCTGTGGCAACGATAAAGTATGGACGCTGCACAGACCGAGAGATGACGCGAGATACGCACAATGCTCACATCAGCCCGAGGCTACGAAGAACGCGAAAAGGCAACGACTCAATGCTCCCTTCCCGGCGCTGAAGGAATCGACCTTCAGAATGCTGCGCCACGCGGGAGCTGTTGCCCAGAGTGTTGTTGAAGCTCACCATCTCCGTCCAGTTGGAGCTGTTGCCTAGGGCACCTTGCAGCAAGCGCTTGCCCGGGGTGTTGTTGAAGCTCGCCATCTCCGTCCAGTTGGAGCTGTTACCCAGGGCACCTTGCAGCAAGCGCTTGCCCGGAGTGTTGTTGAAGCTCACCATCTCCGTCCAGTTGGAGCTGTTGCCTAGGGCACCCTGCAGCAAGCGCTTGCCTGGAGTGTTGTTAAGGCTCACCATCTCCGTCCAGTTGGAGCTGTTGCCCAGGGTACCTTGCAGCAAGCGCTTGCCGGGGGTGTTGTTGAAGCTCACCATCTCCGTCCAGTTGGAGCTGTTGCCTAGGGTACCCTGCAGCAAGCGCTTGCCCGGAGTGTTGTTGAAGCTCACCATCTCCGTCCAGTTGGAGCTGTTGCCCAGGGCGCCTTGCAGCAAGCGCTTTCCCGGAGTGTTGTTGAAGCTCACCATCTCCGTCCAGTTGGAGCTGTTGCCCAGGGCACCTTGCAGCAAGCGCTTGCCTGGAGTGTTGTTGAAGCCCGCCATCTCCGTCCAGTTGGAGCTGTTGCCCAGGGCACCTTGCAGCAAGCGCTTGCCCGGAGTGTTGTTGAAGCTCAACCATCTCCGTCCAGTTGGAGCTGTTGCCCAGGGCACCTTGCAGCAAGCGCTTGCCTGGAGTGTTGTTGAAGCTCACCATCTCCGTCCAGTTGGAGCTGTTGCCCAGGGCACCCTGCAGCAAGCGCTTGCCCGGAGTGTTGTTGAAGCTCACCATCTCCGTCCAGTTGGAGCTGTTGCCCAGGGCACCTTGCAGCAAGCGCTTGCCCGGAGTGTTGTTGAAGCTCACCATCTCCGTCCAGTTGGAGCTGTTGCTCAGGGCACCTTGCAGCAAGCGCTTGCCCGGAGTGTTGTTGAAGCTCACCATCTCCGTCCAGTTGGAGCTGTTGCCCAAGGCACCTTGCAGCAAGCGCTTGCCCGGAGTGTTGTTGAAGCTCACCATCTCCGTCCAGTTGGAGCTGTTGCCCAGGGCACCTTGCAGCAAGCGCTTGCCCGGAGTGTTGTTGAAGCTCACCATCTCCGTCCAGTTGGAGCTGTTGCCCAGGGCACCTTGCAGCAAGCGCTTGCCCGGAGTGTTGTTGAAGCTCACCATCTCCGTCCAGTTGGAGCTGTTGCTCAGGGTACCTTGCAGCAAGCGCTTGCCCGGAGTGTTGTTGCTCACCATCTCCGTCCAGTTGGAGCTGTTGCTCAGGGCACCTTGCAGCAAGCGCTTGCCCGGAGTGTTGTTGAAGCTCACCATCTCCGTCCAGTTGGAGCTGTTGCCCAAGGCACCTTGCAGCAAGCGCTTGCCCGGAGTGTTGTTGAAGCTCACCATCTCCGTCCAGTTGGAGCCGTTGCTCAGGGAACCTTGCAGCACTCGCGAACTCGTGGCATTGCTCAGAGTGGCCTGGGCTCCGGCCACCGCAATCAGAGCTGCTAGGAGTGGCAGCATGGCGGCGAACTTGACGTAGCTTCTTCTCAGGACTGTAAGCTGCAAAGCAAAAACTTGCGTCCAGTTGGAAGTTTGCAGCACTCGCTGTGGCATTGCTCAGAGTGGCCTGGGCTCCGGCCAAATCAGAGCTGCTAGATGGCAGCATGGCGGCGAACTTGACGTAGCTTCTTCTCAGGACTGTAAGCTGCAAAGCAAAAACTGCGTCGGAAGTTCTCCTGAAAAAGCGAGATGCTTGGCATGCCGCATGCCACCCTGCATGACCAAGGAACTGAAGTAGCCAAGTTCTGAAGAAAATGGCAGAGAAACACAAAACGCCCCTTCTATCCCTTCTTACTTCGAGAACGTAGCTTAAGTCGAAAGCAACGCATAAGAACATCAACCAGGCCTGCTCCAGGGCATGCGGCTGCCCAAGGCGCCTTGTCCCGAGAGGTAGCAAACAAAAACACCGAAGTTCCGTGGCCTTTCGTGAGCTCTGTATTTACGTAACTGCGAATGCATGTTCGATGAAGGAAGACGATATAGAGCTCGACATTTGCACGTGGTCTCACGCCGATTATCGATCCCCTGTCGCGGTGAACTGCGCCCCTGAGCATCCTTGTTGCCCGAAGCTTGCCTAAAATTCTCGCGAGCCACGGCGCTTCTCCCTCCTCATCACTCACACCCTCATCTTGCGGAAGGCCGGCTGTACTGCAAGCCCTCTAAGCCAACGCAGCCGAAGCCATGCAAGAGCACATTTGAAAATCTTGCTCGTAGTCTCATGTACAATAGAACACGCCGCAAGCCGCCCCTCGGATTCAATGAAGCGACTCCAACCCGAACAAGCAATCTCAGCACCGAAGCCCTGCCACCACAAATTCCGGAAAGCAACCCCCAACGGTTCTAACGCTGAGGGGCTGTCCTACAACGAGACACCATAACGAGACTGAATTGCGATGGGCAGCCTATGGCACCCTAAACCCAACGTGGGCCCATGCAGTCTGAAACCGCATAGCACAATGGCACTGAATCCCCACACCCTTCAACCCAGAAAACCTTCAGAATCTGTAACAGCTCAACCCGAACCAGCCTGAGGCCAAAGCTTGGGAACCACTATAGAGGAAGTCAGGACGGCCAGTTCAGCGCAAGGCGGATGCCAGCTTGCCAAAGACCATGTGGCCTTGCACAGAATGACATCTAAGCTTGACAGTGGATTTTCAATTCGAGAAATTTGGACTGAAGGAATTGGGGTAAACGATGGAAGAGTGAAGGTGTTTTGGGACAAGTCGTGCCCCGAGTAAAGATTTACGTTTTGGCGTTCGCCTCGCGCTGTCCAAAGTCATGCGCACAAGATGATATCCCGAAGGATCGCGGCCCAACCTCCCGATGTTGAATGTATTCAGTCGACGCCGCGCGACCTGTTTTGTTGCTTGTTCGTTGCTTGCGTTGATGCTTGGAAGGGGAACACTGCTCGCAAACTCCAGCCTATGCGCAGGTGAAACAACAAAACGAAAGGAAGGGTGATCCATCAGAACCTCCCATTCGGAGCGCTCCTCTCACGCAAGATTCCCAAAGCGTTGAACCAACAGCTCCTCAGCTTACGAGAGTCAGACAAGCCGCGACACTCCAAACCTCAACGAGCCTCGCAAGCCCAAGTAAACACGAAAACCCGCCGGGACTGCAAAGGCATCAAAGTCCGTAACAAAAAAGAGAGTTGAAAGTTGAAAGAGTATCTCTCGAGTACCTGACTTATACCTTTGGGTGTTCAGGCCGTTAAGGGCGACAAGTTTTACCTATCCCCACCCCAACAAAGCAAGACCCATCATCAAGATTCATCAAGGCCGCGAAATCCTGCAGTCTTGTCGTTCTTATCTGGGATCCCGCTTTTGGAGGCTGGAGGCCCTCGCAAGTAAGATGAGCTCCGTTTCTGTAAGCACGTGAAGCAAAACTTGATCTGAAACGCTGCACAACCGCTGCACGCCTCGTTCTCCCGTTGCCAAATGCTGTTGGAGCAACATGGGGCAACTGGCCTCGGAAGACACCAGGGATTGCACGAACAAACGATCCAAGTCTTGAGGCGCCCCGTACGAAGCCGCGCCCGCAAGGGATTGCGCTTCTGCAGGGCCATATATGCAACCCTCGCAAGACAGGATCCATGGGCCTGTTAAAAAACCAGAAGGACACTCATGCCGGGATTCCTAAAACAGGTACTGTATGTCCCCGGCACCAGAAATAGCACGAATCCTACAGTCACATGAGCTGAGGCAGCCGGGCGAAGGACGTGCTCAGCTGCAGGACCTTCCAGGATCGCGATCCAACAGCCAAACTGAAAAATAGGGCCATATCCATATATCATGAGCATCTCTGGTCATTGGAGCTGTGCTATTGGCGTCGTGACACATCTTGCTCGGCTCTTTTGCTCCAGCCGCGGCAATATCGCTGGAAAGGCATCGAAGCGCTGTACATGCCATGCAGAATGACGGCCTGCGCAGAAACACTTGCGTCTGAGTCTGAATCTCGCTTTGGCATGGTGCAAGAATGTCAAGCTGCCCAAGGTCTAGCACTGCGTCCGTCGTCCTCTTTGCCTAGCGGGCCCAAGACCCACGACGCCAGCAGGCGAAATTCTCAAAAATGTCATCCAGTGCAGAAACAGGAGACTCAGCGTCTAGGCGGCGGAAAGCGTAAGTGTATGTACGCTGCCAAATGCTGCCAAAACGTGTGAATTAGGCGAAAAATCTCTGTGTTCGTCTTCGCTCGCTGTGGCAACGATAAAGTATGGACGCTGCACAGACCGAGAGATGACGCGAGATACGCACAATGCTCACATCAGCCCGAGGCTACGAAGAACGCGAAAAGGCAACGACTCAGTGCTCCCTTCCCGGCGCTGAAGGAATCGACCTTCAGAATGCTGCGCCACGCGGGAGCTGTTGCCCAGAGTGTTGTTGAAGCTCACCATCTCCGTCCAGTTGGAGCTGTTGCCCAGGGCACCTTGCAGCAAGCGCTTGCCCGGGGTGTTGTTGAAGCTCGCCATCTCCGTCCAGTTGGAGCTGTTGCCCAGGGCACCTTGCAGCAAGCGCTTGCCCGGGGTGTTGTTGAAGCTCGCCATCTCCGTCCAGTGGGAGCTGTTACCCAGGGCACCTTGCAGCAAGCGCTTGCCCGGGGTGTTGTTGAAGCTCACCATCTCCGTCCAGTTGGAGCTGTTGCCTAGGGCACCCTGCAGCAAGCGCTTGCCGGGGGTGTTGTTGAAGCTCACCATCTCCGTCCAGTTGGAGCTGTTACCCAGGGCACCTTGCAGCAAGCGCTTGCCCGGAGTGTTGTTGAAGCTCACCATCTCCGTCCAGTTGGAGCTGTTGCCCAGGGCACCCTGCAGCAAGCGCTTGCCGCAGTGTTGTTGAAGCTCACCATCTCCGTCCAGTTGGAGCTGTTGCCCAGGGCACCTTGCAGCAAGCGCTTGCCCGGAGTGTTGTTGAAGCTCACCATCTCCGTCCAGTTGGAGCTGTTGCCCAGGGCACCTTGCAGCAAGCGCTTGCCCGGAGTGTTGTTGAAGCTCACCATCTCCGTCCAGTTGGAGCTGTTGCCTAGGGTACCCTGCAGCAAGCGCTTGCCCGGAGTGTTGTTGAAGCTCACCATCTCCGTCCGGTTGGAGCTGTTGCCTAGGGTACCTTGCAGCAAGCGCTTGCCGGGGGTGTTGTTGAAGCTCACCATCTCCGTCCAGTTGGAACGGTTGCCCAGTGTACCTTGCAGCAAGCGCTTGCCCGGAGTGTTGTTGAAGCTCACCATCTCCGTCCAGTTGGAGCTGTTACCCAGGCCAGCTTGCAGCAAGCGCTTGCCCGGAGTGTTGTTGAAGCTCACCATCTCTGTCCAATTGGAGCTGTTGCCCAGTGCGCCTTGCAGCAAGCGCTTTCCCGGAGTGTTGTTGAAGCTCACCATCTCCGTCCAGTTGGAGCTGTTGCCCAGGGCACCTTGCAGCAAGCGCTTGCCCGGAGTGTTGTTGAAGCTCACCATCTCCGTCCAGTTGGAGCTGTTGCCCAGGGCACCTTGCAGCAAGCGCTTGCCAGGAGTGTTGTTGAAGCTCACCATCTCCGTCCAGTTGGAGCTGTTGCCCAGGGCACCTTGCAGCAAGCGCTTGCCCGGAGTGTTGTTGAAGCTCACCATCTCCGTCCAGTTGGAGCTGTTGCCCAGGGCACCTTGCAGCAAGCGCTTGCCCGGAGTGTTGTTGAAGCTCACCATCTCCGTCCAGTTGGAGCTGTTGCCCAGAGCACCTTGCAGCAAGCGATTGCCCGGAGTGTTGTTGAAGCTCACCATCTCCGTCCAGTTGGAGCTGTTGCCCAGGGCACCTTGCAGCATTCGCTTGCCCGGAGTGTTGTTGAAGCTCACCATTTCCGTCCAGTTGGAGCTGTTGCTCAGGGCACCTTGCAGCAAGCGCTTGCCCGGAGTGTTGTTGAAGCTCACCATCTCCGTCCAGTTGGAGCTGTTGCCCACGGCACCTTGCAGCAAGCGCTTGCCCGGAGTGTTGTTGAAGCTCACCATCTCCGTCCAGTTGGAGCTGTTGCCCAGGGCACCTTGCAGCAAGCGCTTGCGCGGAGTGTTGTTGAAGCTCAACATCTCCGTCCAGTTGGAGCTGTTGCCCAGAGCACCTTGCAGCAAGCGCTTGCCCGGGGTGTTGTTGAAGCTCAACATCTCCGTCCAGTTGGAGCTGTTGACCAGGGCACCTTGCAACAAGCGCTTACCGGGAGTTTTGTTGAAGCTCACCATCTCCGTCCAGTTGGAGCTGTTGCCCAGGGCACCTTGCAGCAAGCGCTTGCCCGGAGTGTTGTTGAAGCTCACCATCTCCGTCCAGTTGGAGCTGTTGCCCAGGGCACCTTGCAGCAAGCGCTTGCCCGGAGTGTTGTTGAAGCTCACCATCTCCGTCCAGTTGGAGCCGTTGCCCAGGGTACCTTGCAGCACTCGCGAGCTCGTGGCATTGCTCAGAGTGGCCTGGGCTCCGGCCAGCGCAATCAGAGCTGCTAGAACTGGCAGCATGGCGGCGAACTTGACGTAGCTTCTTCTCAGGACTGTAAGCTGCAAAGCAAAAACTGCGTCGGAAGTTCTCCTGAAAAAGCGAGATGCTTGGCATG